TTCACTTGGTATGCGGGAATATTATCATCTTGACAACCACGATTGGGAGATTGCACGATCGTATGTTTTAGCCAATTGTGATAAGTCAATGGCATATAGAAGGTGATTAAACTTAAATGTTATAGACTGTAGTTGAATGGCACCAACTTCTTAAACTCTACTTTTGGTTATACAGAGTGACATTGACTGTTTTTTTTCACATACAAAAGTTACGTGGAGAATGCTAAAAAAACTCAGGGGAGACGTGTAACCATGCTACAAGCAGAGAAAGAAGCTATTAAATCCTTCCCAGATTGGTTTGAAAAACATGTTAGTACGGAATAAGTTGATTCTGCGTATACTGGTTTCCTATTTATCTTCATATTCTTAACTATGCATATGAACCTGGGTGTAAATTGTGTAGGTTAATCAATTGCAACAATCAGGTGATCCAAGGGCAACTGACGACTTGGTGGCGCTTGCTAATGGACCTAGTAAGTGGTGTCGGAGATATAAGATTTTTGTATGTAATGGGTTTAGGTTCAAAGTAAGAGGCACACAATCCAATGGGAAATACCAAAACTATGGTGTTTTCCTACAGTCTGATGTTCCAAGTTATGCTGGCCTACGTGATCGGAACCTTGTTACCGGTTTGGTAGACTACTATAGGGTTCTGACTGATGTATTTGAAATCAAGTACCATATGGAATGCACAATGGTATTATTCAAATGCAACTGGTTTGATGGCACTTCCAGAAATACTGGTGAGGGAGTAAAAACAGACAGATATGGCTTTAGATTGGGTAACTTCAATAAGATTTCGTCTACGAGTGACCCCTTCATTCTTGCATCACAAGCACTACATGTGTTCTATGTACAAGACCCAACAGATATAGAATGGCATGTTGCAATCAAAATGAGACCACGTGATTTCTTTGATATGTCCTGAACGCATGATGATGATCCGTACGATGGACAGGATGTGGAACATGCAATTGGTGATAATGATGAGGTTCGAGTTAGAATCGATGTAGACGCCCAAGACTTCGAAGAATGCCTGTAAAAGCATCTCACTTTTGATGAAGGTAATAGTTATAGGAAGTATTGATTCGATGAAAGTGTTGTAGGATATGGAAATATTTGTACATTTTCACATTCATTCTTGAACCAAGCATTGCCATGACTATTAGTTTTTTGATTCGGTATTATATGCAATATATTAAACTGGTGTCTTTAAGTGGCAGCTTCATGTAGTGTTTGGAAGAAACACTCAGCACATTAGACTATGCACACCATGCCAAAAATATAAAGAACAAACCAGAGGTTAGAAGTTTGCTCCATCCTTGTTCTCACAAATTATATAGTTGAATTGTCTTTCATTCTGACCCTTGTTATGGTTTGTTGTTGCTTATTGTTTGGGGTAAATAAAAAAATGATGAAGTCTGCTTTGATCAAGGATTTGTATTCTGAGATTGATCGGCTCAAGCAAGCTTGTGACCTGATTCCAACGTTGATGTGCTCTTTATATCTCTCTCTCTCCAGAGATTTTTTTTGTTTGACAAGTTATTTAATGATTCTTTATTGTTACTTTGCTGCAAGCTAAATTGTATGACATGTTTCTTATGTTCATTCAGAGGTATATGCTACCAGAGAGAAGAATGGAATATATATACCACGAGATCGTTATCTTAGTGAAGAAGCAAAGAAGAAGGTCATATTCTTGTCATTTAATTGAATTATGGACTGCTTTTCCTACGTTCACAATTGATTGGTTACTAACTTCATTAACTCTTTATTTATTGTAGGCAATGTTTGAAAGGATAGAGCGGATGGAACTTGATTTGATTCAAAAGACAAGGTATCTCCATCAAGATTTCATTCCTTTCTTTTTTAATAATATAGCAGCAATTGCTGGAGCTTCAGGAACTTTACGATTCTCAGCAAATTTTGGCTATAGAATTAAATGATAAACTTGAAAAAACTAAGGTAATACATTTGTAATATCGACTTACAAAGTCTCTTTTTGTTCTTTTTGCTCTCGTTCTGAGATAATTAAACACTTTACACTTCAGAAAAAGCTTGAGGAAGCTGGACATGCACTGTATGGTCTTGAGGACAAGCATTGACAAGCAAATGCGACCATCAAAGAGAAGGAATTTCTGATAGTGAATCTCCCCAAATCAAGTGAGCAAAGTTGTCTGCTTAAACAAATTGTCGTGTCACCATCTACATTTTCAGACCATATATAGATTCTCTCCATTTCATCTTACTTTAAAGTTATACAGTCAACATTCGGGATTATTCTACACTATTCATGTTCAATTTTTTTCATATATTAAATTTCATGCTAGAAGGTACATTTAAATGCCTTTTTCTTACTATTATTTCCATTGTTAACTTTCTGAGAAATCACTCGTTGGGTGAGCATTTGAGCTAAGAGCAGAGTTAGAGAATGCTGCATCAGATGTGTCCAGTTTATTTGCCAAAATTGGTTTGTATTATTATTTTGTATGTTCTTCTTTTATCTCCCTCAAAACTTCGGGTTATTTATTTTCTGACCATGTAAGGTTTTGTAGAGCGCAAGGACAAATTGAAGATGGAAACTGGAAACTAGTCTAGAAATTTGAGTCCCAATTAACTCAACAGCTTGAAGTCTTGCATAAGACTGTGGCAGTTGCAGTGACACAACATGAGCAGCAATTAAAAGATATGGAAGAGGACATGCAGTCCTTTTTATCAACAAAGGCGGAGGTAAGGTTTAGACGAGAAGATGATTGTCTTTGCATGCATTCCTGAGATTGAATTGTGAATCTATATACAACTTCATTATTTGGCTTAATTTTGAAGGCTACTGAAGAACTGCGAGGAAGATTAGGAAAGCTTAAAAACATGTATGGTTCAGGTATTAAAGCTCTAGATGGTATAGCTGGGGATCTTGAAGGAAATTCGCAATCAACGTTTACTCATCTAAACTCTGAAGTTTCTAACCATTCTTATGCTCTGGAAGATGTAAGCATTAGTTCACTATATATTTTGTCTTCAGATTTCTTTGTTTTTCTGTCATGATATTTAATTATCGCTACTGTAGCTGAATACATATAAATCAAACTAGTACACATTATTATAATCGCAAAATACACAGAGTAGTCATACATGATATTGATTCCATAAACCATCCATACAGAAACAAAAATAACATAGCAGTCTATATAGTTACCAACTACCTAGGTTCAAAATATAAACATCCATATCTTTTGCGGTGGTACAAACTGAGCAGGAATGTTTACATAGAGCAAAAGACTAGAGATTTGTTTTTTAAAGGTTGATATCTTGCACTGCACTGGACATACATGAATACTAATACCATAATATAACATCCATTCCCATATAGGTTCAACTTTTCTTACCATAAGCGTCATCGGATGGTGATTTTGCATTCTGAATATCTTTGGGGATGGCTTCCTGTTTTGCTTGACCTGTAGCACGATTCATCCAATCACAATGTTCTTGACCACCCACATATTCGCACGCAGCACACTTTTTAACAGCCTTGTACCTTTTTTGATGATGACGAGTCCTCGTAGTATTGGTACAATCAGAATCAGAATCAAAGTGTACATCATTGCAAATCTCAATAGGATCAAAGCGATATGAATCACCTAGGAAAAAAGATGATATTATTTTCACTGTGTCACCACTGATGGAAGGTTGCTTTCCATTGGTCATTAATTTCTCACTATCACCACTGATGCAAGGTTGTTTTCCATTGCTACCATGCTTCACGTAGCCGATTTCATTGGACCAGGGCGGAATCACGTTCACATCGAAACCTGGAAGATCAAATGGAAAGTGCACATCTTTCATGATCACATTTTTCGCTGCCTCATCATAATGAGGACAATAAATATTGATCAAGGGATTGGGTGATTGAGGAGGGTGAACTGGCATGTTAAAGCAATGCGAAAAGTCGTTCCATTCACCCCAAGCAGCAGTTGTCTTTGCAGGGGATTCAAACTGCTGGTTAGCACCTGACTTGTGACACCAAAAAACACTATTCATTGGCCTTGTTGGCTTTATATATAAGATAGTCCAAAAAAATTATGATCACTCACCGTTCGATGTTAATCTATCGGTAGGTGGTTGTAGAGATATAAATTAACCACATTCAATGGGAGAAAGACATGTGAGCTATATGCTTTTTATGACGTTTTTACCCTGGATGTCATGAGTAGACCACAAACCACTCCAGGTAAAGTGATGCCTGTATGTCCTCCATGAGGGACCGTGGCTAGTGTTTTCCCTATGAGTATTAGGCCTTTGGGCCTCAACGTATCATGGGTGCTTCAAGCCTATGATATGTCTTGCCACCAAGTCATACCCAGCCCAATGGTAGCAAGAAAACAACTCTTTGGAGTCTCTTTTTAGGTATCTAGAGCGCCTGCGTTCCTATCAACAGGGACCTTCAAGACTATTAGCTGGCAGGACTGCGAAGACTCTTCTATGCAATCACTAATTTTGATTGAGTTGTTCACAATTACAGGCTCACCCCTAATCTAACAGTACAAATATTTCCCTGATTAACAAAATGAGCACCACAATGCCACATTTTAAGCATGTCCTTACAGTACTGAGTAATCCTTCATATGACAACGTAATATCATTTCATTGTACAAACCATCATAATCCAAATTGTTCAGTCTCTTTATCATTTAAAGACCAACTTTTGGAAATTAGTTTGATTTGGAGACCGTTTCCATTAGCGATGACGTGTAAATGAATTATTTTAAGGGAACTTTAACGAAAAGCTCACAGTACTGTTCACTTTAACAAAAAATCACGTTTTTACACTAAAAAGTCAATCATGATACTATTCACTTTACCCTTTATTTTGTCTTTATTGTTAAAACTCAAAATTTTCAAGTTTTTTTCATTAATTTTTCTTTATTTTAAAGATGATTGTTAAATGATGATAAAAATAATAAACGGCGCAGATTACAACGTTGGTACGAAAGAATGACATTATTTGGTCGTGCAGGGAGAATTGCTTCTTAAAACAGAGTCATATGTACCGAAATAAACCGTTGAAACAAGAAAAACAAAACCTCAAACTCATCCCATTTTCTTGAGTAATGGCGGCAGCTACAGGGGTCATCGTGGAGCTTCAGAGAAACTCTCCCAACTGGGCGACGATAGTGGAAGAAATAATGAAGCTAGAGCGGAAGATCTTCCCGAAACACGAATCCCTTGCCCGAAGCTTTGACGAAGAACTGAGAAAGAAAAACAGCGGGCTTCTATATTACACGGAACAACATATAGATGGTGAAGAAGTTGCAGGCTATGTCATGTACTCTTGGCCTTCTTCCCTGTACGCTTCCATCACAAAGCTCGCAGGTTTCAAATCCCTTCTTTTTTCTTCAACTTTTCATCCATATCAGTTCGCTTTTTTGGGAGAAACCATGAAACCAATTAGTCAAGTATCAAATTGCAAATTTGGGCCAGTTTTTTAGATCACTAGATTCAACTCCCAAGTTAGAAATGCATGGTAAGGGGATTTCAGATACTCGATACGGTTTTGGTTTGCCGGAATTGTAGACATGCTCATTAGGTGTTTGATCAAAGTACCCATTGAGACTTTAAAAATAAGCTGAATGCACAAATGCTACTATTTGGAATTTTATCTTTTTGGTTCTGGTTTTTAACGAATTTCTGGGAAATTTCGTATATGCGCCATTGTTTAAAGCATTAGAGTGCTAATTTTTTCTTTGATCTCATATTCGCCAAATAGTGATTTCTTGTATGCATGTGGATGTTTTGTTTTCATAGTGAAGGATACTTGTCGGAAGCAAGGCTACGGAGAAGCACTACTGACAGCAGCCATTCAGAAATGTAGAACAAGAAATGTCCAGCGCATAACACTTCACGTTGATCCCTCAAGAACTCCTGCTGTGAATCTTTACAAGAAATTCGGTTTCAAAGTTGACAACCTCATACAAGGTTACTACTCTTCGGATCGAAATGCCTATAGAATGTACCTAGACTTTGATGCCAGCTAGTGAAATACAGATGATAAATTAATCCCAAGATTTTGTTGTGATGTGATGTAATGGCTCAAAACACTTTTGAGTTGTGTACGGGATTGAGGCCAATTCATGACCAACATGTAGTCTGTCAATCTGTTATGATATGAAAAACTGCACAATTGAAAGCATTTTCTCAATCTGTTTTCTCTTAAATTATGTTATTTTGCTTAAGTTGCCACTTGTTTGAGGAAATGAATACCACTCTTGATGAAGCAATCTAGCCTTTAGATACGCTAATCTTGCCTCACTTTGCTGAAGTAATCTTGCCTGTAGTGTCAAGGTAGTTAAGCGAATGAATTCCTTGGTTTCAAAGTTTTAAAACTTCACTATTTCTTTCTTTCGTTCTTTCTTTCTTTCTTGGAGTGTTGTGTGACTATTTGATGTGGTACAAACTAACACACAAATTAAACCCTATAATTTAGATGATTGTAGTATGAGTAAGTAGGGATCGTTCTAGGCCGGAGATTAGGAGGGATGCTAATCAACTCAAATTAAACTTAAAAACTGAAAACTAAGCTAGACTAACACAAAATAAGAATTGAGGGGGGGTTTTTGACGAATTTTAAGAAACAAAAGTAAATAGCAGCAATTTAATTGAGTTGTAAAGGGAATATGGGTGAAAAGCTAGCTAGATGATTCTTCTCCACACATGAAACATATGCACATAAATCGATTTCCAGTTATTCTTCCTATAAACCATGAATGACAATGCCCCAAATTAACTGTGAACAACACTAATTAATTCTTAAATTTTCCTAAGTTCATTGAATTGGACTCAGTTACACAACCAAATTATCCTTCTCAAATTCCCTACCTATGAAAAGCATGATAGAGACACATATCAAAGGTCATTAAGTTTTGTGAAAATCATAAGCATTGACAAGACATTCGTAATTATGAAAAACATGATACTCCTGCCATGGATTTAATTAACTCAACCATGACTAGTGACTTTTACTACTTATAAATATAAGTTCATAACGATTAGGTGAAATTCCCTTATATTCTAGCATCAAATTCCTGCATGCAAACTAAGTATGCATCCTTAATAAAATACAAGAATAAGTTCTCTATAAAACATATAAGTAAATCGCATTCATGTTTTACAAAACAATAACTGGCTGTAATCAATTTATATAAAACATATGATCATGGCTTCGAATTCACCCCTAGCTAAAAAGAAACTTAGTTACACATGTCCATCATAATTGAAAAACAATCTAAAATAAACATTGAAACTTAAAATAAAGATAGAAAGAACCTAGAAAACTCCAACGACTTCAATGGATGATTGCAGGTTACGGCACATTCCTCTCTGGATGCAGGTCGCGGCACAATATTTCTTCTTTGATCCTTGCAGGTTGCGGCACAAGCTTTGAATAAGGCATGCGGCACAAGTCTTCTCTCACTAATTGCTGCAACAGAAATACATATATATAGGGTAGGGTTCGACAGAAACCAAGGAGAAAAAGGATTAGGGTGTTTGAATGGATTAGGACTCCTAGAATCAGATGGGAAATATTTAGAATAGGATAAGGACTCCTTTTGCATCTGGAGATAATATGAGATAATGTTGCATAAAATGGGATAATGTTTGGATAAGGTAAGATAAGATAAGATAAACTGGATAAGATAAGATAAGTCTGGATAAGGTTGGATAAGATTATATCTTTCCTTGTCTTCCAAACTTCCAAATTTGATTCCTCCAGATTTTAGCACATATTTAGCACATGTAAAACACCAAAAACATCCAGCCTCACTGCTCCACATGCATGCTATCCAATCCAAGTCCAAAACTGCCCCAAATTGCTCCATTTAGCCATTTATTGTCATCTTTACCAATTGGACCTACAACAATACGAAAATAACTTAAATTACGATAATAAATGGAAATTAACTAAGCAAATGCAAAGAAATAAGATAACAAAGTCGCATAAATATGCTCCTATCACTATTTCATTATTTCTTTGTTTCTTGGTTTATGATTAGGATTAATTAATAAGTTAATTAATCATATGAGTAAGTTCGTAACAGATCTTGAGTTAGTTTTGGACTTCAAGGTCCAATGGGCTTCGAACTGTCAAGCCCATTAAATTAAGTTGTGTGACAACTTAAATCACAAAGGACACAAAAGCCCACTAACTTAGAGGCCGGCCATAGAGACTAGAGAGAGAGCTTAGGGTTTTTATTTTTGTTGGTTCAATACAAGGGACTATAAAGGGGAGTTATAAAAGCAATTCCAGTGTAGTAAGGCCCCCTGGGCATAGGTAACTGAATCCCCTTAAATGAATAATAATTGCCTGCAACTCAATCCCCTTAAATATTAGTATTTTTTATTTTATAAAATAATAAAAAAATATTTTTATTTTTAATTTTAGATTAGGATTTTTAACCGATCTCATCACGCCATGTAAGGTGGAACTCCATTTTTATAATCAGAACTGTTCATATTATAAATCACTCTATAAAGATCCTAAAAATCAATTAAAACTAAGGTTGTTTAGTCATCGAATTGTATCAAAACAAATGAACGGAATTGGTAAAAGCATTACAATCCGTCTATGTATTTGCTAAAATAGATTAACTAAACGACCTTAGTTTTTCTTCATTTTTTACATAAATGATCGTTACAATGTGATTTATTTATTTATTTATTTATTTTTTTTTTTTTCCACAAATGAGGCGCATTTTGAATGATTCAAATAGTAGCTAGGTTAGGTGAATGTAACAAAATTTCTTGCATGGAAAGCCAAAACAAAATTCTTAAATCAACAAACTTTCTGCAATACTTTACAAGCTAATCGTAGGGAGTTCCAAAGCTCTGTTATTCGAATACGAAGAATTTTGAGTAGGAGTTCCTACTCATTTTTGAGTGCCCAAGCATTGTTTGGAAGACAATGGTAAGGTATTTATAGAAAAAAAAATTGATTTTTTTAAGATTTTTAATTAATGTTTAATATATTTTTTAAATTTTTTATTAACTTAATTAATCTGGAGCATTGGATTAAAAAAAAAAAATTGAAATCCAATAGTTCAGATTGTGACACATGGCAACGTGGCCCAACGGTAACATTTATGATTTTTCTTTTAATTTTTAAAGCCGAAAACGTGGACTGTTGATATGACAATCAAACGGTCCAGATTGTGCCACATCATCTGGCCGTTGAGGGAGATTTGGATTTTTTTTTTACTTTTGGAAATCTAATGGCTCAGAAAATATAGCCGTTGGAAATCCAACGACCTAAAAGCAGCTACGTCGCTCCAACGCAACGATAACTGAGTGGGCTGCTACGCGGGCCCTACCTTCTGAAACATTGTCGGAGACATGCCCTTACGTGTGAGTTTTGTCCACGTGCATGAAGAAACAAATATTTTTTTTTATATAATGTGGCTGATGTCAGCCTTTTGTCACATACGCTTAAGCGCTCGAGCCTTGGACTTTTGCTTGACTTCTTCCTCAGGCTCGCCTTGAGCCCAATTGCCCAACTGGGCTGGAGTGTTTTTTTGGGGGAGGGAGGGAGGCAATGGATATTGCCCACAGTGGAGTTGCTCTAACTTTTCTCATTTCTGGTTTTGTAAGGGAAAATGAAACACAACTCTCTCCTCTCTAAGAGGTCGACCACCAAGGCAGAAGAACACTAGCACTTTCCCCTCCCTTGCTCACTCGTCTTCTCTTTACATCTCTTTATATGTGGAGAAATTAGAGGTACCCTCTTTTGGGAACTTTGGAGATTCTATTCCTCATCCAAGTCTAGGGTGTCAAGGGCCAAATGAATGAAGGCTCTCTCTTGGGTGATTAGCCTTCGTCTATGCAAAGATGAATAGACAAAGATATAATGAATTCTCAACGCTTTTTGTGAATATGAGTTGAGTCATGGTTCACCACACAACTAGGCTTTGAACTTATGGTTAAGATTTGTTTTGAGTGCATATGAATATGCTTCCGCCTTTTAATTGTTAATAGCTCTATATATGTTGCTCAAATAATCTTAGTTTTGCCAAAATATTCTTTCAATTCCTCCTATGGTTCTAATAAAATTCTATCATTTCTCTTTAGAATTAAAATAGATTGTCCAAGGCCCAACACACTGAAATCACTATGAAAGCTTGATGGGTATTTAATTATAGAACAAATGAAAAGTGCAAGATCCATAATTTAAAAGTACTTTATGACGTGGAAATTGTGGGTGGCAAAAACTCTCTTTCACACATAAGGAAGATTGCTTAGTTGAATTTTAGAGGAAAAGTACTTTCTAGTGGTAAGTTCATAGTTTCAAGGGAATAAAAGCTCAATATCCAAGTAAAAACTCATCCCTTGAAGTAATCACAGCAACCACTTGGATTGGGGAATGAATTGAAAGAGAAAGGTACTCTAGAAGAAAGAAGCGATTCTATAAAAGGCAGCAGAAAGGGAAACTCAACTCAACATACAAAAAGACTTCAAAGCTCTGGAAGCCTACTTTTCATATATTCATTTTGTAGTTCAAACACTCTTTATATTTATAGCTCTGCTACCTTCCTTGTAGTATCGATTTCTTGTATTGAATTTCCTTTCTCAAACACATCATGTACTTGCAAGAACTTCCCTGACTGGGGATCAGTCTTCCCTGAATAGGTTTAAATCTTACCTGATTGCTTGTATTTATCATTTATCTTCAAGTTATTAACTTTCATGCAAGTTTTTATTCTATTGATTAAATAGTTAACTTGCCTTTACATTTCATTGCTTGTAAGACTTTACTTTCCAAGCTAATTTGTCTCACTTTTTGTCTTTACATTTACATGAGAATTGCAAACTGACTTGAATACAATTTGATCAATTTGTGGTTTTCCCTTGGCATCAACATAAAGAAAATATAAACCAAGCATAAAAAGGAACTTAACATATCCTTTCGATAATGAAGTTGAATTACCAAGGTTCCAAAAGACACTAGGCGCTAGTTAGGCGGCGGATTAGGGCCTAACTCCTAGGCGGGCTAGACGGATTTAAGTAAATTATTATAAATTAATTATATATTAGAAAAATTAACATGAAAAATATGTTATTTGAAAAAAAAAAAAAGTACTTGTGATATTAGAGTTTTAAGTAGATAGTTTGGTGTAGTGACCAGGGGTGGGCGCTCGGAATCAAAAACTAAA